TCTCAGGGCTGAGGGTGATTTGGTCTAAGTCCCATGTGGCCCCCCTAGATCCAATTGTTGTGGAAATTTTATTAGGATGTGTTTTTAGTATATTGTAATATTGTCATCAAGTCTCTCAGTGTCTGGATTTCCACGCCACGCTCGATTGGAGCGTGACCCGGATTTAAATCAGCGCTGAGTGTAAACCATTGGAGTAGATATCATATGCGTGGCAGAGCAGTGTTTTCTTAGCGAGTGTGTGTGGACGTCAGCTAGGGCCCATGCGCAAAAGGCGGATTTATTGGTTTGGCGTGGATACAACTTGCTTTGAGGACATAGTATTATTTAAGATACATATCTGCCTTTTTGAAAGGAACGTGCGTTTGTATTTCTGATGCGTCTGATCAGTGCGCTGGAGATAGTATGGCATTGTCCCTGCAGATAAGCTTCCATTCAAAGGAATCATAGTAACGTTATTGGGCATTGCTCACTGAGCACTGCTGGATAAAGTTCGCTCCAGTGGTAATGGGAGATTGTGTTTGTGGGTCTGGAAAGATGACGGGTAGGAAAAACATGCGGCTGTGCACAAGGGTCTATGGGCTATGCACACCGCTTCTACTATGATACAGACATACACTCCCTTTCCTTTTGTGTACATGTGTTTTGTTGGCTGGCTATGATATGTTGGTGTATTGAGGAAGTGATGTTGGTTGTTGAGATCACTTCCTGGTTGCCTGTTTGTGACATCACTTCCTGTTTGTGACATCACTTCCTGTTTGTGAGAAATAAAGGCTGGGTAGTGAGAGACAGAGAGTCTCTAAGAACAGAACCACCAGCATGAAAACATCACCGTGTCCTGACTCTACATGACTCTATAGGAGGTACCTCTTGCACAAAAGAGCGTAATACAACTGTGCTTTTAAGCACGGGGGGAAATTCTTTGTGTTCGGCGGCATACTTTGGCGCACTTTAGCGCAGCATGGATTTGTGCGTTTAACCAAGCGAATTTCCATAACACAATGACCCGATCACAAGCGGATAACTCCCTCCCTCTACGGTGGGTTGAGAAAATCACTTATCTGGGTGTTCAACTAACAAAATCGGTCAGGGATTATTACTACTACTCTCACAACTTAAGATACGGTTGGAATCTTGGAAACATCTTCCCCTATCTCTAGTGGGTAGGATTAACCTGATCAAAATAAAAATATTGCCTGTTTTTCCTGTACTATCTTAGGAACTCACCGGTCTGGGTACCACAATCCTTTTTACGACAAATAAATACACTCATTAGCTTCTTTCTGTGGAACTCAAAAGTTCCCAGGATTAAATTGGCTATCTTACAGGAGCCATGCTGTAGAGGAGGACTAGCGGTCCCAGATTTAAAAAAATATTATTTAGCCGGTCAAATGGTGGTCATGCACAAGTGGTTCACAAGAGACTGAGGATGCAGCAGTAGTGGTGGAGGCTGCATCTCTGGGGTCCTATGCAGCACTGGATGCACTACCCTTGCGGGGACTTAGAGCTCCATATGAACTCACGGTGTCTATGCGAGCTACGATTATGGCCTGGTCCTCCATCTGTAAGCAGCTAGGTCCGACCCACCAGGGCTTGTCCCCTCATACTCCCCTCTGGAAAAACCCGCTCCTACCTCATTTCTCAAACATACCTGATTTCCACGTGTGGCCTGGAAAGGGAATTAGAACGTTAGGAGATCTTATCTTGAACAATTCACTTATGACCTTTGACCAACTGCAAGAAAAAAATAACATCCATACTGCCTATCTGTTCCGCTACCTACAGTTGCGCCATGCCTTCTGGGGCCAATTTGGGGGTTTGACGTGCATGGTGCAGATGTCCCGATTAGAGAAATTCTTGAGAAGAGACACACTCTCACTAAACCACTTTTGGAGGTTTATAGGCATCTTTTTCAAACATCATTAGTACATTCCCTTAACTGTAAGGGTCCTTGGCTAGCGGAAGCCCCTGCACTGACTGATGAGGACTGGGAGGATGTCTGGGATTACCCCTTTAGCCACTTGGTGTCTGCCCGAGACAAGCTTATTCAATTTAAAATTCTACACCGTGTATGCATCACTAGCCCGCATCTATGGGGCCAACTGCTTTGGATGTTGGAGATGCTCTGATTCGCCGGCAGGTCTTATCCACATTTTGTGGGTCTGCCCGCGAATCAGACCATTCTGGCTTGAGGTCACTCCTTTCATGTCACAATTTGTTGAGGTGCCATTTAATCCTGATGTACGCACATGTATTTTGGGGCTAACCGAACACTTGGCTCCTACCAATCCGAGACAGGCCTTCATGGGAATATTGTTTTTTGCGCCAGGAAGGTGGTGATACTGCGGTGGAGACAGAGTGCGCCCCCAACTATATTTGACTGGAAGGGACTGGTAAACTCCTACCTCAGCCTCTATAAGGCTACGTATCACAGCAGGGGATGTCCCAGTAAGTTTACAAAAGTCTGGGGTAGCTGGGTCGAATCTGCGGAAACAGTGGGTTGAGTGGATTGGCTTCTTCTCTGTGCAGGTCTTGGGGTAAATGTATGCAGGGGTTTTGGGTTGCTATGAATATGATTTTTTTGACCCTGTACAATATGTTATTCTGTTCAATATATATTTCTGTGTAATGTACTGACACTCCAAGTAATTTAAAAAAAAAAGCCCAACTGCAGGAATTGTTTTTAAGGGTCCCCAGTAGGCAGCAATACTCAGTCTCTTCAGGGCTGCCCACCGCAGTGAATCCATTTCACAATTAGCATTTCCACCCAGCATCATTTAACACAGAAGAATGGGGAAATCCTTTGAATGCAGGGCATCATGGACCTGCCCCCTGAGGAAGCATCACCATGGTACCTTGAACTCATACAATAACCTACAGTACCCTACATACAATAATGTAGTAAACGGCGCTGACATCATTGATCATCATTATCATCATCACTAAAGAAGGAGATGCAAAAAGAAAAAAAAAAAAATAAGCAGCCAGGGAGGAGAAAACACTGAGGAAGCTCTATGCTGGGATTTCATGTAAAGCTGGTCACACACTGATTTCTCCACCAAAAATAGAAGTACATTTACTTGTGGATTTAATCACCTTCCTAATAGAAATGGTAGCTATAATTCTGGGACATACAGGTGAAAATTTTTATCCAGGAAATTACATTAACTATTTCTATTTGTGATATGAAATTAGGCCCCGTTCACACCAGGGCATTTTCGTTGCACGGATTTTTCTGGGCTGAAACGACAACATTTAAAAACCCATTCATTCCTATGGGGCCCGTTCACCCAAATGTGCACAATCGAGCACTTCAATCCGCCTGTGGCCCGAACTGCTCACTGAGCTACTTTTTCAGCGGAAACATGCTGATCAGCGCGTTTTTGGGCTTTGTTCTCTAATTCTAAACATTCTTGACAAAAGTTTGGGGTGGCCCACTTCTTCCTGCAACACCTTATTGGAATTTTCATTTGACCGGTGGCTTCTGTATCCAATAAAGAGTTGTGGGGGCAGGCCAGCTGTCAATGTTATACAAGAAAGGTGAGGTTTGCATATCAGAGTGTCACGTGTAGAGCTGTAGCTAGCTTCTTTGCCGTCACTTCAGAATGGCCGAGCGGGGAGGAGAGTGAGAGCCAGCAGCTGTTAGATCCCGGCCAAGCGTCTCTCTCATCACCGCTCGGCCATCCCAAAGTGACACCACTCCCTCCTCCGCCCCCGAGTGCAGCAAGGATCCAGAGAAGAAACTGCAGGCTGTGCCCTGGTCCCATGGCTCTTATGAAATTATTGAGAGGTATATGTTATGTGAGGGTGTTACCTCGGTAGCAGGTGTGTGTGACTCCCTGGATGGGTTCACGCCACAGAAATTAGGCACAGCAAACAAGGATTTCTTCAGTTGAAACACACGTGCAGTTTATTTACACTATTTACAAGAAAATTTGAGCAAAACAAACAAAACATGAAAATAAATCCTTGCCTTTTGGCCACTTACTACACACACAGTATCCCTCACTAACAACTAGGTGCAACCTTGTGCTTCCCCTAGCACGTATCTCCCTATTCAATGAAGTGCTACACAGGCTGTATCTCACCACACAACTTATTTTTGTTTTTCTTTGTCACCACACAGGTAGGTAGAAAGCTCCCCAGTCTACTCAGGCATAAAACTGGTTCCAGGGTGGAGCAAATCTCTGAGCAGTCTGGGTGTTCTTATAGAGGCCCTAATGAGCCAGCTTACTTCAGCTGGGTTCATTACCTCTACCATTCCAGCCACCCAGCACTCCCTCTAGTGGAAAAAATCTGCAAACAACTTGAACCTGGGGCACACATGCCATCCTGGATACAGCCAGGCGATTTTACCTGCCTACTGTCACAGTTACCTATGGGTGGCTGCATGATATATATATACTGTCATTTTAAAAAATCATATTTTTTGCCCTACAGAAAGCTGTCTATATGTGTAATAACAAATATTTATTATGTTACCATGTAGTTTATGCAGCAGTAGCCCCCAGCTGATGTTCCTTATTTCAAAATTTGTCCCGATTTCTTTAAATTACAGCAGCATAATATGTGCAGCACAGATTACGCTACAGTAGATATCATGATAGCTGGTCTTTGCTGTTTACTAATCTATCTGCAGTCTAAATAAAATCACTTCAATACAGCTGTGTAAACAGGGCCATGCCATAGTTGGGGCCATGTCAGATAAGTGATTTAATCTCAAGCGACACTTTGCCAGCAATATAATCCTTGAAATTCAACTTCTTGTTTGACTGGGGTAGTTGCTCCATTGGGAATAAGCGTGGCATATTGCTATATCCACAGTATTTTAGTAGCAAATCTAAAGAATTATATCATTTGAATATTAGCAATTTGTTGCTAGAAAATTTTGCAGAGAGAAACACCAATCTAAAGTGGCTGGATACAAACAAAAAAATGACCACATTACTATATATAATGGCAACCCCCTACATTCTTTACAGAGAACAAATGTGAAAACGTACGTGTACAGCGCATCTGAGAGGAGATGAAAATGTATCCATGTTTACAAGCACATCTGAAGCTACCTTGTGTGTTCAAACATTCACCGTTTTGACAAACGCCTTGCATACTGCACTCATTTATATCTGTTAATGATAAGAACAGGGAAATAAACAATTTAATTAGACAGACACATCTTAGAATAGGTATTCAGAGGACTGATATGGTAAATATCATAGTTGCTGCTGGTCCTACAAGCTATTTAGAACCTATTCCTAGCGCAGTGTACCTTGGAACCAATTCAGGTATTCAGAGGAGTTTCACAATACAATACCATATTATGAGTAAATACTTAAACATATCATCAACAGGCCTGAAAAATGCAAGGTTTGTAGTTTTGTAGTAATTCATGTATAGTATTTGGATTCCTAGCAAAGCATCCACAAGGGGACATTTGAGAGTCTAGGTGCTGTGTCCTTTTTACCTGCACTGTGGTTCCTTTGGTTATAAATCCAGGATGCAGAAGCACAAGCATATCAAGAACAGAGTAACATATTAAAACAATTAACAGCCACTACTAGAATGGCACCCCGTTAGTACCTGCTTGCACCCAATTCAAAATGAATGGGCTGTCCTAACACAATGCAACATTGATCCCCCACTGCTCCTTCATCCATTGCAGACACCTGATGTTTCTGTCAGAGCCTAGAGGCTTTTTTGTGAGAGCCTAGGTGGCGTCACCCGCTCCATCATGTTACAGTAGTCAATTCTAGTGATTAGCTGCTAAACCCACCATTGCATACTATCCTACTGGGTATATTGCCCTAGTTAAAGGAGAACTATGAGATGAGTGATTTCCACTCACCTCATAGTTCTAGCCGACCTGTGACAATGAGACTGTCACAGGTCGGCTCAGTAGATCGGGAGGTGAGCGAACACATACCAGGTTCGCTCACCTTCCGATCCTGTCACGGCTCTCTGCCGTGACAGGGGGAGGGACTGGATTCCCCTCTCCCCGCTCCGATCTGCCAGCGCTGACTGGCGGAATGGACAGGGGAGGGGGCGGGTACAGCTGGCTCTGCCTCTAGATAAGCAGAGCCAGCTGTCACTCACGCAGCTGGGCGGATCCCGTCATCTACGTCGGGATCCGCTCCGGCTGCGGAATCTCAGTATACCGCGAGCTGTAGCTTGCGGTAAACTGAGCTTAGGGTAACGGGAGGACGCTAGTTTGTGTCCTCCCGTTACCCTATGGAGAACTATGGGGAAAAACACTGACCCCATGGTTCTCCTTTAAGCTAGAGGCAGGAGCAGCAGGAGATCCCTAGTGGGGTGAGTATTAAAGTGACATTAAAGTCAAAAATGTTTTTCTCTCCCCCAATGTTAATGTTAGCACTTACCTTAAATGAGGTTTCTTAATCCGATCTTCCTCTCCTTTCCTGTCCCTCCAGCGGTGCGGCGGCTCTCCGATCCAGCGCTGACTCCTCTCTGCTTGCAGGCGGGTGCAAGCGTCCATAGACTCACCTTGCGTCTCTGCTCATCTCCCGCCCGAGAATCCGAACTGCGCATGCGCCCGCCTCAAGATGCTTTGCGGCCGCCCGAGCAGTTTCGGATTCTCGGGCAGGAGCGCGCGTCGAAAACAGGATAAGTTTGAACCGCTGTTAAAGCAGTTTTATTTTTTTTAAAACTTTTTGCCTATATCTACTGCTTGCTAGCAGTAGATATAGGCAAAAAACCGGAGGGTTTAGAACCACTTTAAGGGTTCATGGGGAAGGGGCTTTTCACTGACACTGTAACTTTGCATTGAATGGGCATGACAGCGTCTCTAACATCCATGTAGTGCCGCACTGCATTGCACTCAACATATGTAAAAGGGGCCTAACTGCTTCCTCTGTTTAGCATTATAATAAAATTAAGCCCTGAGGGCTCATTCACAATTGCGCATTGGCCTGGCAATTAGGGGTGTTAAAGGCTGATATTCAAGTGATTAATGAATAATAAATATAAATTAAAATAATTCTGATATATAGAGAAACAAGGGATGTTAAAAAATAATCCAAGCCTGGTGACAGATACGCTAATTATGCCATGGCTGCAAGTATCCATGTTAAGGTGCCCACACACCTTGCGATAATCGTACGATAATCGCGGGAAATCCCGCGATCGTACCATTATCGCAAGTTGTGTGGAAGGCGTGCTACCTCTGCTACTGTAAGGTCGCACGACTTTTATCTTAGGAACATGTTCGAAAACCAGCCGAACAACGCACGATTTTCGGCTGGTTTGTGGCATGTTCGCAAGATAAAAGCCGCACGGGCCGGTGTGCGCAAGCGCACACTGCCCGTTTAGCATTGCGGTCATCGGAAGCCCACCCCTCAGCGGGGCGGGCTTGCGATCATCGCAAGTACGATTTGCCTGTCCAAGATAGGCAGATCGTACATTTTTTAAATTACCTTACAACCATCGCAAGACGAAAGTCTTGCGATGGTTGTAAGATGTGTGCCCAGCATTAGTCTTCCAACAACACCTTGCATCCCTGTGGAGACCCTTGAATCTTAAGCTCACCACACACATTACAATCCAATTGTACAATGCCCTTTAGATCACAGTGTGACACTGACATTGGACAGTAAAATGACAGAATGACAACTTAAGGTAGAATGTAAAGCCTAAACCTAGGATCTGAAAGGTTTCCACAGGTATTCATTTGAATAAACAGTACACAGGCTTTTGTGGGACTTGTAGATTTTCCATTCTTCTGTCAAAGTTCCTGCTTTTTTGAAAAATCTGGCAGGGCCGTGCATGGCTCCGCTGACACAACCACACACACAGGTTAAAAAAAAAGTCTGTGGGGAGAAGAACTCTGCAATTCAGGTAACAGCCCCTTGGGGGGGGTGGGGGGTGGCAATGTAACCCTAAATAACTTGGCCTTTAAATATAGTAAACATTAAGGCCATTCACAAGGCGTCATGGTTTTTGCGCGTTTGTACCCACAGGTTCAGCTAGCGTCTTTTTGTACATTTATGCGCGCACGAAAACAATTAGCAGTTTAAAAAACATTGCAGTCAATGGAGGAACACGCATACAAATGTGCAAAAACGTGCACGAAAATGTGCAATATGCTTCTGTCGCGCATTTTCTGGCGTTTCCATTGTAGTCTAAAGGGGACAAACGAGCTGCAAACTGCTAAAAGAAGAGCATTTGCCATTTTGCTGCTCAGGTGTGAACAGGGGCCATTGAAAATCATGGGATTTCTTGTGCTGGACATTTTAAAGCGCTTTTTATACTGTTTAAAATCGCCTAGGTATGAACCAGGCCTCACTCCCCATAGCCCACTCCCAGGGCCGGCCTTAGGCCTTTAGGCGCCCTGTGCGAGAAAGCTTTACAGCGCCCCTCAGTGACCACACCCCTCAATGGCCACACCCTTAAGTGGCCACACCCCCAGTAACCACACCCATTTATTACCCATATTTTTGGTAAAATATAAAAAGCGGGGTCACGTCGGGTAAATAGACACCAAACATGTCATGCTTTAAAATTGCGCGCACCCGCGAAATCGCAAAAAAATTACCATGCCCAAAATTGACCATAGGTGATGCTTTTAAAAGCTTTTACCCCTCATCAGTTTAGTGTTATCAGTGATTGATAGCCCTACAATTATTGCTCTCATTCCGACGTTCGCGGCGATATGTAACATGTGCGGCGTAATGGGCAAAATCGTCGTTTTCACACGTATGCGCACCCGACGCCTGTTTGCATGCGTGTATGTATGGGGGGGACTTTAAAAAAAGAATGTAATTCTTTTTTATTTGTAACTTTACATTTTTGGGGGGGAAACTTTATTGCCATCACATAGGGGGGTTAGAAAACCCCCTTATGTGATAGCAAAATATGTGACAGGTCCTCTTTATGGAGACATCAGGGGTCTCCAAGACCCCTAATGTCACCTAGGACCCCC